GCCAAACCTATTAAATGAACTACGTAAGGAAAGATTTAAATACCCTTACAAATGTTATTTTTCCAGGGAATCTATATTCATCTAAATTTATTGATTCGACATTGAACAGAAAAAATAAGAAAACGTCTATATTGCATTACTATCTATTGTAATTAACTTTTGAATGCCATTTGATGGAATGAGTACACATATAGTTTATAGTATCTAACCATATACATACATACGAAATTTTTAAGGTTCTTGAATCTTTTATACCGCTTGATAGGTCTAATTTAGCCTGCCAATTATTTTTGGTTCAAAAAATATACACATGATATGCAGATATGTACATACACATTTGCATATATCGTCCACAAGGTCGGAAATGCAAAACCCTGTTAAAAATAATAAAATACTTATACTGTACAAAAAAACCTGTGCCAGCAATCAAAATTATGGTTCTATTCCCAAATATTAGCGACACAAGAAAATCTTCTAGAAGCATCTACAATGGCAGTCAACATAAAAACATTCTAGAAAATTAATTAAACATGAATAGTTTTCCTTTTTATTTTGAGCTGCTTACAAATTTAAAATACCAATAAAAAAAACTAAGGAAAATACATTTTTCATTAATTTTAAATGATTTTAAAAATAGATTTATAAATCTGAAAACGAAAACCGAAATTTAGAAATATTTCGTAGGTGCGTACTAACAAAGGATTTTTACAAAATTCGTATTTTGTAACCTAGAAAACAACATTTGCACTAACTAGGACATTCAGAGAATAATTTTTCTTGTAAATATAAAATTAATTTTTTTTTTTTTTTTTTTTTAAAAACATTGATATATTTTTGTGACCACAGCTGTGTCTAATCATCGGCAGCGCCTTCGCTGCTTCACGTGTTTTAACGGTTAACAGCGGCCATGCACTCCAGCTAGCCATCTCGCTTGCACTTGCTGCAACTGCAGTTGCACCGAGCACGCAATGCCTAATTATCAGCGCAGGAGAGAGGGAGAGGGAGCTGCACCTCGCTCTCCTCCTGCCGAAGGGAAGGCACGAACAAATTCCTGGCGAACGCATTGGAATGGTCAGTCAGTAAATGCATACACACGAACCAGATACACACACACACACACACTTAGCCGGCAACACGACGCGCTGAATGAAACGAAACGAAAAGGGGGTGTGAAGTGGGCGAAAGAAGGTGGTGGGTGGAGTGGGGGGATGGGCGAGGGGGTGGCGCGCGCACGTTGCCGTTCCATTTTATACATGCATACATACGTACATATGTATGTACACTTGTACAATTTTTCCTCTGTACACCCAGAAGAATATGTTTGTTATATTTTTAGTATATACACAAACGCAATAAATATGTGCATGTGGCTGTTACAGAGTTGGTATTTTTTTTTTTTTTGGTAATGAAACGAATACACACAGGAAGGAAGAAGCAGAAGCGTAACGTAAATACAAAACAACAAACGAAATTAGCACAGTGGGTGTCAAGTGGGAAATTCCAGAAATATATATGTATGATTATTTGATTGAGATTACTTTTTCGCAAGTTCATTTTGCATTTCGCATTTGTTCGTAAACTATGGAATCCATAAGGCATTGCCAAAAGATTTAGTTTTTTATTTTTTTGATAAAGCTTATATATTTGAGATAAGAACGAAAATACACAAATAAAGCTTATCGGGTTTTCTTTGCAATATGGTGCAAATACCAAAAATTGTTTAAAAATAGCCAAGAGGTTGAAAGCTTTTTAAAGACCAATCCCGAATCAGATTGCTAATAAGATTACTAGTTACTTTCTTATGGTTAAAATTCTTGGCACATCATTTTTTTTAGCAAGAAAGTTTACTTTTGTTCCACTGTTTGATGACGGCATCGGTATGAGCGAAAATGTTTTTTCTTGTTTTTTTTCTATCTCGTTTTTGGAGTGCTTTTTCCACTGCAGCTCGTTCCGTAATTCGTATACCAACTAAAATTTATCTACACCCTGGTTCGATTGTGTATGGATGTGTGTGCGTGCAACTTGTTATCGCATAGCGTAAAAAGGAGAAACAGCAGAAGAAGCAGCAGCAGCGAAAACCAAAACAAGTTTAATGACGTTTTGCGCGCGCAGCCAAGAAAAAAACACACACACTTACTCACTCACACAACACAGAAACATTTACGGAACCAGTTTGAAAAGAGAAGAGGAGGAGGAGAGAGGGAGAAAGATAGAGGCGAGAACATTACAACGTCAGCGTCGTTGGTTTTTGCACGTCTCTGTTTTTATTACATTCTGCGTCCCTTTTCGTGTGCTTTTTGCGCTTTTTTGTGTGTTGTTTTTGGCATTACGACTGTTACGTACGTGCATGTAAGCGAGCGTGGATGTGACTGTTGGCTACACGTAGCAATGTATATATGTACATACGTGCTGTACATATGTATGTATATATTGGCCATATAGGTTTGTATATTGGCATGTGCGCATGCCTTTTAATGGCAAGGGTTGGCAGCCCCTTTTTTCCACAGAGGGTTGCAAAATGCGTTTCTACCGTTTTTGTAGGTGTGCATATGTGTGTGCGTTGTACATAGATAAACATGGGGAAGAGATAAGGCCGCACTGATAAGCAAATGCGTTATCTAATCTTCAACACAACGTTTCTTATCACAAATATGTGCATACATTCATACGTATAGTCGTAGACTCCCTCTTCCTCTCCTCCCTATTCGCCTACCAGCCAGGAGAGATAAGGAGCTGGCAGGCAATCACGCCGTTTCACTCTGGCCTGAATATCTGTATGTGTGCCAGTTTGGTTGCCCTGCCTTATCTGTATCGCTGCCTCCCTTCCACCCACTCCAATACGCCTCCCCCCACCCACACCCAGCCAGGTTAGAGCGAGACGCACAGCACGCGCTCACTCGCTCTCCCGCGATCACCGCTCAAAAAACGGTAAACAAATACAGTGGGCGCCAGTTAATTGAAACCCTGGGCATTTAAACAATTTGTATCCCCTCCTTGGAAAAAATTAGAAACTAAGGTCCAAACAAATTCCAGGTAAACCTCAATTGTTATCATTTTATTGGCATTTTTAACTTGAATTCTAACATGAAACTTTAAATAAACGAATTCTTCCCTTTAACAGAATTGTTTAAACAGTTTCTTCACGCTTAATTGCCTGGAATTTCTTCCCGGTATTGCCCATCTAAATAAACTCAAATAACACCTATCGAGGGTCCAAAGGTATCTTATTGGCTTCTAAGTAGTATTGGAGTATTCCTAGAAACCCAGTTTTCTTCAAATTAAAACGTAAAGAAATCAAATTGTACGACTTTAATCGATTTAAATGTTCTAGATAAAACATTGTTGAATGTACGATGAATTATACGACTTTTATCGATTTAAATGTTCTATATAAAACATTGTTGAATGTTAAAATATGTATTTTATAAAATTTTTTTCCTGTTGAAAAATGTCATTTGACAAATAGAGTTGTTCCTATTCGACCAGAGATCACTGTTTCTTGATAACAACCTAATTTCTTCAGAGTTCGGCTAACTGAAAGGTTCACCCAGACTGATCCATTCACTATTATTGATACGAAATAGTCTCCTTTCTCCCCTGCCACTCTATTTCCCACTTCATATCGCATATTTCCCATTGGCGATTCGATCACTTCAAGTGATAAGAAATCATTGATAGGGGATTATCCCACAAACTGTTCTCCCCTAACTTTGCCGGCGTAGTTGATAATATATGTTGTAATTATAAGTAATCTCTATCGTAATATGTTAGATATTTGACTTCTTGATAGTGCCTTCTTCGATTTTTGAACTAAACATTTAAGTTTTAATGCATTTTTCTCACATTTGCCGGTTTCAGTACTTCTACAAGAATTCTCTTCAATGAATGTCTACTGTAGCTAATGATTATTCATCCTGAACTGATAACGATTTCGAATTTTTGGTAGTTTCCAACCGAAAACGAATTATTATTATTCTAAAGTCCAATGCTATGTTTCATATACTTGTATGTATGTATTTATGGTACAGTATTACCATGTGTTTACTGGGGGTTATTTTGTATAGTTTCATATATTAATATAATATTTTAATATCATAATGAAATGCTTGAAAAGGCAGCGATTCATTTATAGTAAGAAGCTACTGTAATATGATGGTTATCAATCTTTATTTTTTATTTTTATATTTTTTTTTTTGGCACATTTAGAATCTGTCCTTGGGACAATCACCAAGTTTTATAAATACACATAAACTAACTGACATGTTGATAATACAATTTAGTAAAATACGGCAATAGAACAAGTTAATAATATTTATTTGAAAGGGAGATCCAAAGGGTGGACTCTGTTCAAGCGCCTTGGGCATTCAGTGATATCTAGTAGGTTAGTTAATGGCCATATAGTTTATTGATATATCTTTGCCAGATTATCTTCATCTTTTCGTAACTAGTATGGATTGATAGACCTTCGTGGATTTTCAGGTTTGTAGTTAATGGGTGCACACTTCCAATAAATCGCACAGTTTTATCTTGAAACGTCTGGATATCTTGATATAGTACTGATTTTTTTATACAATCTAGCTACTTAGAATTTGTAATACCCATTTATTTTCTAACGATTTTGAATTTTTTAGTAGTTTCTAATCAAAAACGAATACTTCTAAAGACTATTTTGTATATGAAACTTTTTAATATTTTAATATCACGATGAAGTCCTTCAAAAGTAGGTAGCTACTTTATTATGATATCCATCTTTCTTGATATAATACTGACTTTAGGTCCAGCCACTTATGAATTTTGTAATCTGGTATTACTTATATTGGTCTCTAAGAGTTATTTTTCCCGAGTAAGTACTGTAAAGTTATAATCTTGTAATATCCATCACTTTTTTGAGTTCTTTCCACGAGTGACTACTGTAAAGTATGATTTCTCCCTCTTCTGATTAGCTTTTTGGGCTGTAATCACTACCTTAATGGGTGCTCCCTTTGTTTTTCTTGGCTCACCTGCTTTGAAGGTCGATGCATCAAAGCTGGGCGCTCTGACGGGCTGCTGTTTATCCCTGAGACTGCTCAGCTGCCGCTCGGGCACATAGCTGACCGCTGCGGGCAGGGATTCGCCGCGCGTCAAGGGCGGCCGACCGCCCCCGCCCGTTGGATCCTCCATGGCGCTGCGCTTAATGCCGGGCGGACCGCCGCCGGCCACGCCTCCCACAACAGAGGCGGCGGAGACGCCATCTGGCGGCAAACCATGTCCCGACTGCTGCTGCTGCTGTTGGCTAACATCCACGTCGACATCCTCGCTGGGCGGTCGCTTAAGGTTGACGGACAGTGCGGGCGGTAAATTGCTGCCGGGTCCTCCGCCACCCGCTGTGGGCACACCACCCCCGCCGCCGCCACCGCGCGTTGCATTGGGCGGCAGGTGGTGCGGCGTCATGTGGGAAATGCGAACGGGACGCACACCGCCACCGGGTGCATCCTCCAGCTTAACGGGATAATCCAGAGGCGGACCAATGCGCGGCACGGGCATTTGATAGGGCATCTGATGATGATGATGAACGGCAGCGGCTGCGGCAGCAGCGGCCACAGCATTGCCCAGCGAACTCAGTGGTCCGCCGGCACCCGAGGGTCCTGGAACGCCACCGCCAGGTGGATTACCACCGCCACCGCCGCCACCACCACCGCTGCGATGGGAACCGGGTCCTGGTCCTGGAACTGGGCCCACTTGTAACTGTTGTTGCTGCTGATGGAGAGTAACGGCTGCAGCGGCGGCGGCGGCAGCGGCAGAGACTTCGCCGTTCTCATGGGAACGCTGCTGTTTGCTGGCGGGATGGAGACGCTTCATTTGGCGGGCGGCGTCCAGCACCGCCTCGATGCGATCGGCGCCCTCGTAGTTGACGCAGCCGCGGCATACCGCCTCCGAGAAGTCATTGATCATGGCCCAGGGCATGCGGGGTAGGTCGCACAGATAGCAGTGCTGCCTTTTCGTTTGCAGCGACATCTCGTGTGTGTGTGGAACGGTGGAACAGTGGGAACCTGCCCTGCGCTGGAAGCTGGAAACTGGAACCTGCTGCTGCTTTGGGATCTCTGCCTGGAAATCTCCTTGTGCTGCTGCTGCTGGTGCTGCGACTGCTGCTGCACTCACTGGAATGGCTATGGCTAACTGTTCTGGCTTTTTCGTTTTCCTTCTCTTTATTTTTTGTATTTTTCTGTGCCTCTGTGCCGTTTGTTTCCTTTTTAGCTTATGTTATTCATGTTTTCATATTGATTTTCGCACACGCACACACACACGCGCGCACGCATTTTTCACAGCGCGCTTCACCCGAAAAAAATTCACTAATGTTTTCTATTGCGCTGCGCTGCTCACCGACAAACCAACAAACACGCACACACACACGCACGCACACACACAGCACACACTTGGGCACGCGCGAGAGCCGCGCGCCAGCCGAGAGTGGGAGAGAGAAAGAGTGAGAGAGAGAGCGAGATGGTGAGTGAGAGCGGGACACGTAAACGTACGACGACGCCAAAAACGTGGAGGAACAAAACGAACGAGGAGAACGCAGCGACGCAGCGAATAACGGAAAAATCAACCGGACGCCACAAAACTCGCTGATAGAGTGACCTTGGTGGGGATGTGCAAATATACTTGTTAGCCGGCTGAAATGCGCTAAAAAATCCGCTGCACTGTGCTGTATATACCAAAGAAATACTAAACTAGATACTGAATATCGAATACTCAAACCTCTGCGGGTACTCAAACAGGGGTTGTAGAGCTTGCTAAACCTGCAGCTATGACTCAAACCATGGGGTACCCATCCTATTTAAAAGTTTAAACTTAATATAATTTCGGTTTTTTTCCATATATTTTTAAATAATTTTTGTTTTAGAAATATTTTGAGCTAATATGCAAGTATTTTATAATAACCATTGCTATACTAACAGTTTTTATAGTTGGTTTCAAGAAATTCTTCATTTATTTCAATAGTTGGGGTTCAACTCGTAAACCCCACTCCACTTTTCACTACGTCCCTGCTTGCGTACGTGCCCGCACGTCATAATCAAGGAAAAAAATCCAGTGACGATATCCACCCCCCCGAAATGTGGGGGGCAAAGTTCGTCAGTAAGTATACCATGTAAAGTTCGTGTCCTGCCTGGATACACATCCTATATATATTCGTTTGTATATCATTTTATGTATACCCCCAATATACATAGGATACAGAAAAGTAGACCTTGAATCTGGTATCCTCCGTCTCTTTCGCTGGGCGAACAGCTGACTTAGCAGAGCTCTGTTAATGAAATTAAAAGCTGTAGCCGACTGTTTCCTAGCAAAAAAAAAAGAGGAAACGGAAGGGACTGCGCAGGACCAAGAATTGCAAGGATGTATATATATAGACGTTTCGGTGCTCGTATTGTCCTGGGCTGTTGGCCTGCATCGATTTCCCGACCATGGTCTGGGACAAATTCCATATCTGTGCGTATATCCTGCAAAAGGGCAATGCGGAAAAGGAGCAACCAGATACAGATAAACACGAACAGGACCTCGTGACGGGGCCCTACCTTATCGCCCCCTCTTTCTTAACTGCGTCACAGTCCAGGACATATGTTTAGGCCCATCCCAAGCACAACTGTACTCGGCTTTTGTAATTTCTTTTAAAAATCTCGGAATGAAAGTTCCTTTTTATACCCTTGGAGAGGGAAGAAGACGTTTCCGACCCCATAAAGAATATATATTCTTGATCAGTATCAATAGACGAGTCGATTTAGCCATATTCATCTGTCCGTCCGTTTCTTCGCAAATTAGTCTCTCAGTTTTAAGCTATCGGGATGAAACCTTCTTAAAAGTCTTATATTTCGGAACGATCCGGATTGAAAAACAATATCCTATAGCTCCCATAGGAATGATAAAAAAAATTTTAAAAAAATTTTTAAAAAATTATAACTTTGGTATATTTCTGACTTCTAATCTTGGGAACACCATCCTTTTAATATTTCAGAATTTCGAACAAAATGCTATAACGAATAATGGAAAAATAACACGAAAATAATTGTAGTCTCGTTTTTGATCATATTCTCTTCTACTCCGGTATTTAAAATTTTTTAATATTTCAGAATTACGTTTTCAATTTAATAAAAGTCGAACTACTACATCATATAGCTGCTTAGGAAGGATCGAAAAATAAATGACAAAATAATACAAAGACCATTATGTTTACTATAAATATCAATTAAATATTATCTTAATATTTCTGTAATAATTTTATGGTTTTCTATAAATTGGAAAGCTCTGTATGTTTATACAATTCTCCCATAGAAACGAACTGCAAGGGTATAGAAACTTAGCTCATTTTCTTGTTGTACATTATCTTGATATGGACACACAAAAAACTTTAAGTAAAATTGTCCAACATAATAGTTAATTGGTTCCAAACCATCGAATTATCAATTTCACCAACGAAATAGTTACTCTTCCAACCACAAAATACACACAACTTACCGTTTAATGGTAGTTTTGATATTAAATAGTAACCAATGCAACAATAAAATACATAATCATATACAGTCGATTTTACCTAATTTCCTATTATTGTCAATAACAAATTTTAATTGAATAAAATCCCAAAGTGGTATTTACTATCCCATAAAAAATACAAGTATTCGGTTTGTTTATTTATTTTTTCCAATTTGCATTTTTTATTAACAAAAAAATTATTTAAATTAAATTAAAAGGAGAGTCATACACTACGTTTATACGCAGGCTTTTAAGTTTTTCTTGAAAACACAAATCTTTCTTATACCCAAAAAACTAGGCAACAAAAACATTACTAGTTAGTAAACTTATTTACAAATGGGTAGAAAAATGTTGCTATACTGATTATATCTGTTAAATGGTATAGAGAGTATACCGAATTAAGTTAGGCACTCGAAAGTACTTGAAATATTTCATAAACCTCGAATAGCGGGCGTATAAACGTAGTTACAATGTGGAGTGGAGTCAAAATACAACAGATTACAGCAACAGCGTATAAAAAATATCGCACATATTTCAGTTGTATATAGATAGTTTAAATGCTAGATCGTTTGGGCAGAGCCACTGTTATACTGGCATACGTTCGTATAACAGTGGCCGGGCTCAAGTGTCTTATAGAAGCTGTTAATTGCAAAGCGTTTCGATCCTAAATATAGGTTTATGTATATAATGGCTATATAAAGTACACAGTTTAACAGTATAACAGTATTAGGCTTGAGCGTGTGCGTGTTTTGTATAACAGTTAGCGTGTGTGTGTGTGTGTATTACTTAACACTAAAATTGCCTTTGAGCAAAAACATTCTTATATCATTATACAAGTTAGACTTTTCCTCCAAAATACAAAAAAAGTGGTTTCTTAGCATTGTTAATTATTGTTCATGGAATGGAGAGGATGGATGGATGGGTGGAAATTCGATAAATAATAAATTAGATTTAAGCACTAACTTGGAATACGTTTAACTATATAGTTATGGAATATATATATATATATATAAATACATTTATATATGGTGTATATCAAAAAATATTTAAACCACAATTTGTCTAGTTAGTTCAAGTTCTTTTCGTTCCTTTGTCTTTTTTTTTGTTTGTTGTGGGTGGGCTCCTCTCCTCGCAGATTCTTCAGATTCTTCGTTCTTCGCTCAGCTTCATGGCACAAGTTTCTTCCTTCTCTATCTCTTTCTCATTATAACTTTATGTCAGACAATAGTGGGTTAAACAATTAATTGCTTAGCATTTTAGTTGAGTTCTTTAGGTTAGTCGGAACAGTTGTTACCCTGTAATCTTAACTACTATAATTATTCGCTTGGTTTATACAATCTAGGTAAATATTGCAACTTGTCGGTTTTCATTTTCTCAACAGGCACTTAACCTTCGTTTAGCTTAAACTTAAGATCAAATGTTAGAATATAAAAAAAAAACACTTTTGTTGGAATGAATTGAATTTCGTCATGTGCATATAACATTTGCGTTTTCAACAGCGGAACAGTTCACTGGTTCATTAAGTTATTTACATTCAAAAGGCATTACACATAGTTATACAAAATGTCACGTTATATAGAATGATTATGGAAAAATCTTACAGAAATTTAGGGGTGTATACTAGGAATATGGTTAGCTTTCTTTCTGTACAGTACAAAAGTGAACGTTATTACGACTTACAACAGTTACATTGTGAAAAAAGTTGGGCTAATTACGACAGTTAGTCAGTAAAACAACAGCTTCCTGAGTAGAACAATAAACTGCGCACAACACTTGACAATCGAGTATATAGATTATATGGAGCATGGCCAATATCCAGGGCTAGCAACGCGTATTGAAATGCGTGCGAACGGGTGGCGGTGGTGCGGCCCGCCTCCTCCTTTCCCCGCCCGCCGGATTCGCCGATCCCGAGGCCCCCGTTCGATGACCCTGCAGGTGGCCATTCAAAGTTCCCGCCGCTGGCAAGGTCACAGATCCTGCTCCTGCTCCCACTCCTCCAAGGGATGAGGCTGTCGCCGCTGCCTCCTCGCGCATCTTCTGCTTCTGATCGCTGAGACGGGCGCCCAGGCGATGCACCTTCTCCGGACTCAGGATGTTCAGGCGCGTCGTCTTCGAGGACTGTTGCTGCTGCTGGTGGGCAGCCACCGCTGGAGAGAGAGAAAAAAAAGGTCAGTCTTTTGAAACAGTTATGGTTTAAAAAACTTTCTTCTCGTTTTTTAACAAATATCATAAATGATGGTATACTAGATGCTAGTAGAATAGTGACAGTTTTCTTATAGATATTACAAATTATAGAAAAAGCTACTAGAATAGTGACATCTCAAAAAATAGCATTTCGGGATAAATGCATTCTAAGTTTGTAAGTCTTTTAGCGAAGGGATCTAAGTTATACGTTCCTAAAACTCTATGTATTAAATATAGGTCATGAATGAATGCAATTTTTACAAATCATTAATTGCTACTTTTTCGACTTATAAATATTATATACCCTTATTGAAACCCCAAGTCTAATTAAAATCTTTACCATTTGTCAATCGCTGGGCCGTGGCGGCGGTGTGCCTCTGGGCCAGATGCTTGCTGGGCGACCCGGGCCGGTTACTCCTGGTGGGCGAGACGCAGTTGCTGGCGGGGATTCCTTGGGCTTGGCGACTTGGCGGCGCCTTCAGTGGCTTCCCTTTGCCATTGCTCGTGGGCAGGCGATGATTGTTGCTCGCTCGCTGCGTTGGCAGCTGAGGCGGCGGCAGTGGCAGCGTCAGCTTGTGCTTCTTGGGCAGCCAATCCGAGGCGGTTGGTGTACAACTAGCGGTGGTGGTGGTGGTGGTCACATTGCCATTGCTATTCAAAGTGGGCGGCAGGAAGAGTGGCGGATTGGTACTACTGCTGGTGCCACTACTGATCTGGTTCTTTGTCGTTGTCGTCGTGGCCTTGCTCCTCTTCGGCGCCGGTGTGGCCAGCTGTTTTCCCACGCCGCTGCTGGCCAGGTTCTCCAGGGATTCGGCATGCTGCAGCTTTTGCCCCACCATCGATACGGGCGGATTCTTTCTTCCAAATATGGGCGTCTGATTGATGCGCTGAGTGCGCGGTGGCGGCGGCGGGCAATTGTTGCCAC